CTCCAACCAAACGGGGCCCAGGGCCCATTCGGGAAAAGCCCTGGGTGCAGATACTGGGTCTGGACGTGAAGGGTCCAGGCAGTATGCACATTCCAGAAGGGAAAGTGCTGGGCACCAGCCCACTCACATTCTGGCTGGTGCATCCTGCATGAGCCCTGCTGGAGCGCACGGTAGAAGGAGCACCTGGCCAAAGCTGGTCACGCACACGGGCACTGGTGTTGGGTGCTACTGGAAGCAGCGCAGCATTGAAGGCCATATCCCTGGGCCACACGTGTGTGGAAGCTGGTGGGTTGGTCGTGGTCCTTGGGCATGGTGGTAAGACTGTGAGGGGACTGTCAGGGAGTGAGCAAGGGAGCTCGGAGGACGTGCCTGGTGTGTCGTGGACGCCTGTATGGGCGAGGTCTTCATGTGCATCAGTCCGCTGCTGAAGTCTTTCTGGTTGGTTCATCGTAGTGTAGGCTAGGATAGGTGTCGTGAGTCTGTGGTTCGGTGCCAGGCGCCATATGGAAGAGTGACATTGGATACATTGTTGATGGCGGCGAGACAGGGGCTGACATTGACAATTGAGTTCATTGCTTTGCTCTCATTTGGTGTGTCCTTGGTGCACTCTGCTTTCTGTACCACACACGAATATCTGGTTTTCAATGTGATAATGCAATTCGGATTTCCGTCACTCGCTCTCACTCATTTTCCTTGCACAGTGGAGTGATGCCCTATAAACTAGCAGAAGATTCATTCACAATTGCACATACCGTGAGAGCAAGGCACTGTGATCACGGTGTATCTTTGCATGCTCTACGGCAAGATTCAGTCTCAATTGCACAGTGGGTGAACTGTCGAGTAACGCCCTATAATGGTGGTGTTCTAGTGAAAGTTTCATCCGCCATTTGCACATTCGGTGAACATTGGATAGATGCCCTGCAATGGCGTTGCATCTTTCCATGTTGTAGTGGAGGGGCGCCCTATAATGGCGGTGCATCATTCCATGTTGCGGTGGAGGGACGCCACCCTATAATGGCAGTGTATCTTTCCATGCTTTAGCAGAAGATTCTTTCTTGATTTGCACGTTCGGCGAGGCCCGATATCCAAATACGAGTACATAGCAAGCCTGCCTTTACGCATGCCCTGCCAAATTCTTTTGTTGCCCTTGTCCCTCGTTCCGATACAATCACATGGCCCCGCTGTCCAGTCCACACAGTATAACCTGTGCTGCAGTGGGAGGGGTTAGATCCTGCCGTGTATAGGCAGGGTTGGACCTGGGGCACGTCGGTCCCGCACAGGTCCACTTGTTATTATTTTATTATTATTATGCCTACAAGCGAAGCCCCACACTGCGGCACTGCGGGTGATGCCCAGCTGAGAGGTGCTCCAGCAATGTTCTGGCGTCCGAAGGGGCTATGTGACACCCGCGGCCTAGGCCGCGGGCATTTCGGCCGCAGAAAGTCGGCCGCGGCCGCGGCGCGTTTTTTTATTTTATTTTAACCCTATAGCATAGGATTGTAGGGTTTTCCAAACCCTACAATCCTATGTTTTTTATTTCGGAATCAGACTTCGTTTAAGATTTTTAAAAAATGAAAAACGAAATTCGATTTAAAGTTTAAACAAAATATAAAAAATAAAAATAAAAAGAAAAGCAGGATTTTTTTTTTTGCATTTTTTATCATGAGGGATATGGTCCCTAAGTTGTGCTGTATATCCAGCGGCCTAACTCAGTTGGTAAGGCTCGCAAGTGGCATTCAAGAGGTCATGGGTTCAATCCCCATTGGCCTCATGTACCTTCCTGGGCATGCTTGGCGCCCGCCACCTAGAGATAGACCACTGGATCCCCCGATTGGCATTTAGCAGAGTATGCTGATGTTCATAGGGGAGGGGACCTGAGGGGAGGAGGCACAGGGATTGGTCCTGTTGGCATGGTCCCTGATGCTACCGGCTGTCCCCTAGCCGGTATCGCCCACCTGCAGGTCGGGAGCAGCCCCCGCACGTTCTCTCGTGAACACGGTTCTGGCTGCTACGGGGTTCCCCGTATGCCTACAATTAGGAGTAGTGGTAGGTAGGTAGTGTGAGGTGAAATTGAGAGAAGAATATAGCTTTCTTTTTTTTTCTTTTTTTTTTTTAATTTGTGCTGTATTTTTTTTATATAAATGATTTTCGGTTTTTTGTTGACAAATTAGGTGTTCAAAGACAATGAAGATGCAAAAATTTATAACAAATCAACAAAAAAAAGGGGCCAGGCTGGGGTTGGTGTGTGTGTCTGTGTCTTGTGTGTGTGTGTGTATGTGTGTGCGCACGCGCGTGCGAGAGAGAGAGAGAGAGAGAGAGAGAGAGAGAGAGAGAGAGAGAGAGAGAGAGAGAGAAAATCAATCAATCAATCAATCAACCAAACCAATCAAGATCCTATCTATTCGATAGGATCT